AATTATAGAGATAATTTTATTATTTTTATTGATAGCTTCATCTAGACCAAAATTTCAGTAGTAATTTTTTAGTGAGAGAAGTAGGGATTCACTATTATTATAAAGTTTTATCAATCCAGTTTTTTTTTTGGTTGTTTTTTTTATTTTGGCGAGAGGGTGTTTTTTTTTTAGTACTAGGGTTTCGTCATTTTGAATTTGGGTTTTGTCTTTCGTTAGCAAAATTTGAGGTTTTGTCTTTTGTCAGTGTTTTGTAATTTTGGGGCTTAGGTTTCGTCTAACAACTATATACCTAAAGTAATATAGTATGAGGTGCGAAAGCAATTGAGTATATAGGATACAATTAATTATCATACTCACGTGTATAGTAAAGCTATCATACTAGTGCGTAGTAAAATAAAATTAATACCTTAATAAATAGAGCTTAGAACGTCACAGAATATAACATCTATATAACTAATAAGTACTCGTGGTATGGTAACAGATAATACCCTAACCTTACCCATTTGTGTAAGGGCCTTACATTTGAGCCCTTACCCTTACCCTAGGGCTTAGAAATCAGTACCCTAGCCCGGCCTTCATGGTACTACCTGTGGGTACCTATGGGCCTACCCGGCCCGTGCGGAGGCCTAGTGCCTCTACATGAGTGTCTCTAAGTGCCTTTGCACAAGTGCCTCTACACGAGTACCTCTAAGTGCCTTTGCACGAGTGCCTCTAAGTGCCTCTGCATGAGTGCCTCTGAGTGCCTCTTACATGGTTTAGCCGTTATACCTCTTATGTATAAAAAAGTTATAAAAAAGAAGCCTTTGCTCTTTCTACTAAAGTTAGAGTTAGATAGAGTTAGTTAGTTTTCTTTACTCCTCTCATAGTATCTAGCCTTACCCTTTTACTATTCTTATCCTTGTATAAGTAATAGGTGAGGTTATCCTCCTTGACCTATAATAAATAAAGTATTAACTTATATACTGTCCCTATATTGAACTGTTTGCCTCCTGCTAGTAGAAGTAATGCATATTCCACTTCCACCCTGTGTATACCCAATAGCAGGGTCTCTGCACCAGGTGACCTTGTTACCTTGCTACATGTTGACCAAGAAGGCCATAGCATTGTAACAATAAGACAAAAAACCAAAAACCATATTTGAAACAAATTTAGAAAAAGAAAACAAAAGAGAAGAAAAAACAGAACCAACAAAAAAAAAAAAAGAAGAAAACTTTAAATACTATTCAATTATAAAGAAAAAGAGATAGAAAAAGCAACAAAAAAAAAAAAATCCTAATACATACTTTTATAACCTGTGCTAGGTAAAAAATAAAAATTATATACATATGACCCTCGTTAATATCAACTTTGTTAATATTAACCTAAGCAAAAACCAAATTTTTATGAATTTTTATACTGTATATCAAAATTCCCTTTTATATATTAACTTTATTATAAACCCTCATTAATATCACTATCAATATAATTTAAAATAGGTTCAAATAGGTTGATATTAATGAGGGTTATCTGTACCAGATACAACATCTGTATATCTTAATTGTAAGACTAAGCCTTAATATATAATTTCTCTCTGGTCTATTGTTTGGCTATGGCTGTAAACCTAAACCACATCTCATATTAGACATGTGCTATCAATGTCTCCAGCCCAGGCTTAGAAATTTCTTTTTAACCAAGACCCATTCTAGTGCTCAAACATTATATTTATTTTTGTATACATGTTGCCATCTACTAGTTTAACTAAATTTAGAAAGTAAACAATGCTGATCTTTTGTAGAAGATAAACCAAATCCCCACTTTTTATAAAAAAATTTTGAAAGACCAACAAGAAAATGAGAATAGAGAGAAAAAACCACTTGACCAAGAAAAGAGTGTAAGGCTTCTTTAAAACAGTTGTCTACTGTTCTCTATATAAGTCAGATGCATATAACTTCGCTATCAGAAGTAAGAAACCTCTTCTATTAGAATTTTTTGCACAAGGGCGCATCTTTCTGCCAGTTATCTTGTACAAGAATGCTTCTAACTTGCTTGATAAAGATATAGAGAAGTCCCCAAGCCAAAGTAAAGAGAAAAAGAACTCGGTTAACCTCTATAAAAACTGTTAATATGTATCTACTTCAGCTCCAACTCCAGCAAACTTCTATTTTTTTTTGTTAGAAGGATTGGTCCAAATGATTGTCGGAAAGAGTTGTAGAATTTGATTATTAGCTACTGTATTTAATCATAATATTATTAATAAAGTATAAAATTGGGTTATACTATATACAATATTCAATGAATATTCAATATTCATTCAAAATTTTTCAATGAATATTCAAATATTAAAGTATTCGAATATTAAAAGTATTGAACAAATGAATATTCGAATCCAATTTTTTGATCAGAATAAGACCTCTACTTATATGAAGCTTATAAATAATTTATTAAATATTTTAAATTACAAATTAATAAAAAGTAGACTATAATATAAAAATACTAAAGTATAAAAATAATAATTTTTTAAAACCATACTATTGTATATTTACGATTAATATAAAACACTTTAATTTTTAGTAGCAAATCTTGTTTATTTAATATACACCTTTTGTTTTACGATCTTGAAAATATCGATAAAGTTCAGAAGAGCCAACTTCCAAACACCTTGTAATAAAGCAGCATAAAATATAAATTTAGTTAAGAAATAAACAATAAAATAAATAAACTCAAAACAATTTTAATAAAATAGGATATAATAAAATTGATTCTTGAATATCTGCAAAAGAGACTTTCACACTGTCACAAATTTTTTTTAGTCCTTGATCGATTCTGTCAGCATAATCACTATAGTATGAATTTTTTTCAAACAAATCTGAATTTTCTGAAATTATTGTTATTGCATCCAATATATGCTGTTACATAAATTTCGATTAGAATGAATTGATTAGTGAACATTAATCAATTAGATAATTAACAACATCTTCTGTTGAAATGTTTTGTCATGACAACTTTATCATTTTTTCATATATAGTTCCATCACAATGCACTTAAAGGAAGTTGGAGATTCATAAACACGTAAAGCTCACCTGTTCTAATCGTCTGACAAGTGCAACCTTGTAGTTGTTAAAATCTACATCATCCAACAAAGTAATATTTGCCGAATTACCTTTTTCAGTGTAACTATCACTTAAATTACTTGAATTATTTTTATAAGCATTCCAACCCCACATATCAGTACCATTGGACGCATTATCAGAGCGAAGATTTGTCTGTGGATCATCGGATAATAAGTTATTCGCATTATCGTCATCAAACAAAAATTTACTACTTGATCTAGGTGAGACTGGAGAGGAAGCCACATCTGCGTCAGTTTCCCAACTCCAATTATTAAAATTTACAACACCACTTGATATTCTAATGTCATTGTCTAGTAACGGAATATCAAGTATTGTTGTTCTGCGTCGGGATCTTAATATGTGATGAGGATTTTTTGACATTGATTCTGGTGCAAATAACCACGTTTTAACAAGATGTAAAGCCAGCAGAGGACATCCCATTCTATCATATGCAAAGATGCTGCGTAATACAAAACAATATTCGGTCTCTGAAGAAATTTCGGATGCACCCCGAAGAGTTTGAACAGATTTTTCTTTAAGTTGTTTATAAAGAACTATTAGTGCGGCGTCCGGCGATTCTGTAGATATCATAGAATTTGTCGACGAAGAAGTTTGTTGTTTCATAGAAGTGTCGCACAAGGTTTCTAAAGGTACCTATTAGAATTTAAAATGCGTGTTCGTACATAGATAAAACGGCTTGCATACTTCAATTGAAAAAAAATAAATTACAAACCATAATAGCTTTAACAGCCCGATCTCTTTGGTTCAATATCCAGAACGCCATGCTAGCTAACCAACGATCTCCTGTCTTCACAGCTAAAGGAATAACATGATTTTCAAGTATACTTTTCAAAGTGGATCCTTCATCACCTTTGAAATATATAAGTATTGTCAAGTAATAAATTATTTCGTAGTTGTGTGGATAATAGATATCATTTACCTTCATAAACTCTGCAAATAGCAATAGCTAATTGAAAATCATCTAAATATTTTAAACACACATTTGCAGCATCCTTTAATTTATCACCAAGAAGAAAGAATGCAGCTGCGTATTCTATAAAATTCAACTTAATTTTGTCATTCATAATTAATAAATGGCCAATTTTTCAAAATGATACACACCATATCTTTGTTTTCCCAATAATACATATGCATTCTTCAAAGCTGCAGTCTTCCATTTTGGCTCATCAAAATTGTTTGACAAAAATTTTAGCATCACAGCCTGCTCTTTATGGTTATTGGCTGTTCTCCATAATCCCAGCAATAATTTTTTTTTTCTTAATGCCATATAAAAAAGTGAACAATCTGTTGGATCTCTTTCTTCTTTTTGCATATAATGATTACGAGCTATAATTTCCATCTGTTGTCGCTGTTAGATTTAACAAATTAAGTGCATTATTGAAGTGTGTTGTAAGTTGACCTTTAAAGTCTTATTGTGGAACATACCGCAGCTTCATTATTTCTAAGCCATAAAAAAATCCCATGGACTCTTGCGTCATTCCATAGAATCTTACCACCTGATGCTGCGATACTATACTCAACCAGCAGATCCTATCATAGCATAAAAAAATTAGTGATACTAATATCTAAAACAAAGAAAGAAAGAACAAACCTGAGAATCACTATGTAGTGCCCAATTCATATCACGATAACTTAATCCAGGAGCTCTGAAAGTAGCTCGATTCAAATAATGATACCTTCTCATGAATAATACGTATCGAACTCCATTTTCGTCTAAACTCCTTTTTTGACTTTCCACCTAGAAAACATATATATTTTATGAAAACTTTATATGATTAAATGATGGAAACAATTAACTATATTCACCTGAGTTAATGTATTAACTAAAGCAAGTAGCTGTGCTTGCTCAACAGACGTCAATTCTGGTAAGGAAATTACTTTTAATTGTTCACTTAAGAAATTCGCAGCTTCTTCTGTAAAATCAAGAACAGATTCTTGTGAGCTGTCGATTGAAAAAGAGAGGGTAATTAATTTCTATTAAATACGAATTAAATAGATTAAATAATTACACATACTCGTCGTCATCACTATCCTCGCCAAAAAGAATGCTATATCGACGAGTCTTCTTTGATGCCGTTGACTTAAATAACAATTAACATGAAATTTCATGAAAATATGTCTCCTAATTACATTTACCAAAATAAATACATACAGCATCATCTTCAAGTATCTTATCAAATGGTACAGGAAGCATTCTCGAAATAGGTTTATTAGCACCAATTAAAAGTTTAAGGTATTTACAAAGGCGTGCAAGCATTTGCTTTACCAATTCCATTTTACCTAGTTTTAATTGTCAAAACAGTAGTCTGAATATAATATTCTAAGCTATATTAAAATAAACATTAAAATAAACATTAAGGTTGATCTAAAATTTACTGATGCTGATATTTTAATGAAATTTTTTTTTTTTTTTAGGGTGTGGCTAGGATTTAAAGTTAGAGTTTATGATATAAATTTTAGTAGGATTTATATTTTTGAATCGAGACCCAAATTTCAGCACCAGTCAATTTCAGAATCAACTGCAACATTTAATTACCCCACAAAATATGTTGCAATAGTAAAGTTGGATGGTGATGAGGTAGAGGACCATTTAAATGATCAACAACGTGAAATAATGTAGGGAATGGTTTATTTATTCCTGTAACTCTAGATACTAATGAATGATAGCAATAGTAATAATATTATTAGTCAGTAAAGAGAGAAGAAACCTAATGTGCATTATAAAATAAATTAGAATAAACCTTTACTAATATACTCATGATTCAACCATTTATTATAACACCTTAGTTGATTTCCGTTAGCGACAATAAGCGAACCTCCACTACCCCATAATATTGCAGAAATTGGTAACGGTAGGTTACTATATAATTATTAAAAAAATAAGTATAATTCACCAATAAACAATTTACTGAATGTCTCCTGAGACAAACCTCTGTATATTGATCTCCAAAAACAGAATCCAGCTAGTTCTGACAGAAACATGATGTTTTCGTACTCGAGTATAAAACAATATTTTTCGCGATGTCGCAATCGCTAATATAAGTTCAGCATTTGACGTGAATAACCAATCTACATCAATAATCCTCTCACTAATTATATAAAAATAGAAAAGGACTGTCATAATAATAATACAAATACAATAACAATAAATAATAATAACAATGATAATACATGCCTAAATTCCGTAATAAAATCTTTAGTAGGCGACAATTTCTTTGTGACACATCCCCATATAATCAATTCATACCCGTTGGAATTT